AAAAAGTTTGTCAAAAAGTGTAAGTCAGTCTTGATGTTAAAAAATACCAGTGTATCACAGGCTTTTAATTTGTTTGTTTTTAGAGAGGTATGTGTAAAAAGTTTGTCAAAAAGTATAAGTCAGTCTTGATGTTAAAAAATACCAGTGTATCACAGGCTTTTAATTTGTTTGTTGTTTGAGAGGTAAGTGTAAAAAGTTTGTCAAAAAGTGCAAGTCAGTCTTGATGTTAAAAAATACCAGTCTATCACAGGCTTTTAATTTGTTTGTTGTTTGAGAGGTAAGTGTAAAAAGTTTGTCAAAAAGTTTAAGTCAGTCTTGATGTCATAATATCTTGGTTTAGTAGTGAAATTAATTTCTCAAAACCATTTTTAGTTTTTATATATATTTTTCATTGTATGTCTTTTCCAGGATGCAGACCTGTACAGGTCTGCTTTAAATTATTTTAAAGACAAAGTCTAAGGAAAGTAAAGTATATTGTACTACTTTGCTGTGAGAGAATTTTTGGTGATGGAACTGTACATTTTATGTCAGTACACAGATGATAGTTTTTTCTTTGTGATGCTTGGTTACCCTAATATTCTTGTAGTGTTTGTCAGGTAGCTGTATTAAGTTTTGGTAGAGCAGGTATTATTATCTCTAAATCATTAATGGAGTGTACTTGCCTAGGTTTTGCTAAGGATGTCTGAATCTTGGTGTCTTTGACCTGAATAATTAGCTTTTTTGTCACACAAGGAGTTTGTAAATACCTGTTATCCTGTTAAATAATGTAAGCTTTTTTTTTCTTTTTGTTTTTTGAGGACCTGATGAAGGCATTAGTATAGATCAAAGCTCCAACTGCTGCATGTCTCCACGCAGGTATTGTCCATTAAAGATTTAACACGGGTCATTAGTTCTTGTTAACACAATGCTTCAAGATCTGTTCTGATAAGGGAAAATTATCTAGGTGTTTGAAATGTTGTGCAATACAAGAAACTTGTCCAACAAAATTTACGATCTATATTGACAGTGAAACATCTTTAATTTATTTTGGGTTCTTCCTTATTTAGACGGAGACTTGTCGAGAAGTTGTCCATTTGCAGTTTATCAGCTGGCCTGATTATGGAGTTCCCCACTCAGCTTTGGCCATGCTGACTTTCCGTGACAAAGTAAGAGAGCAACAGGCCCAAGCATTACTAGTGTTAGGAACAGAATGGAAGGACCATCCTCGTGGTCCACCTATTATTGTACACTGTAGTGCTGGTATTGGGAGAACAGGTAAGGCTAGAAATAAATATTTTTAACAGCTGACACTTCCCTCAAAGTAGGCATGATAGATATACATTTCTGCAAGATTTAATAATAATGGCATTCATTGCAGTATTGTATATTTTGCAATGGTTAATGCAAATAAATTTATCTTGTTACCATACATGAGAGAATTACAAAGGGATTGCCATAATAATATAAAGTTCTGAAAAGTAAAATCGGTAAATGAGAGGAAAGATACTTGAAAACTATATTTACAGATTTGGCTCTTGTTATTAGATTTTAAAGTTTCTGAATTTTTGTATTGTCCTTCAGCTTGGTTCTACTTCATTGACACCTTTTATTATTGGTCATTAGTAATTCTGCAGTTTTACTTCCTGTATTCTGTGATTGTATAACTCATAAAACAAGTTCTTCTTCCAAAACAAAACTTTAAAAAAAGAATTTACTCATTACTTGTTGTTTTATATTTTCTCTTTTTTTTAACTTATAGAATTCATACAGCAGCTATAAGTGAAGTTTACAAACAGTTTCTCATTGGTAGTTTTTACTAAATTATTATAAACTGAAACCATACAGCAGCTATAAGTGAAGTTTACAAACAGTTTGTCATTGGTAGTTTTTACTAAATTGTTGTAAACTGAAACCATACAGCAGCTATATATGAAGCTTGCATACAGTTCTCTGAGTATTACGTTATTATAAACTGAAACCATAGAACACCTTTATGTGAAGCTTGCATACAGTTCTTTGAGTACTAAATTATTCTAAGCTGAAACCATTGGGGTTTGTTTTCAGGTACTTTTATCATAGCTGTATTCTTGTATATGTTTTGGTGTTTGTTTTCAGGTACGTTTATCACACTAGATAGCTGTATTCAACAACTAGAAGCTACAGGAATGATTGATGTTAGAGGAACGGTAGAAAAGATTCGATTCCAGCGAGCCCACAGCATCCAAATGCCGGACCAGTACGTTTTCTGTCACCTTGCTCTTCTGGAATATGCATTAAGTCGTGGACTGTTACAAGACATTGATTTGTCAGGATTTGATGACAGCGACTCAGAGTCAGAATGAGGGGTTTTTCTTAGCGAAATTTTATGCTAAGTAATCAAAGAGTGAATTAGTTCTGTGTCTGCATATTGGACAAGGTACAGGTTGAAAGCCAGAAAAAGGGTAATATGCTCACCTGGTGTAGCTTACTTTACTTAGTTTAGATCTGTCTTTAAGTTTGGTTACTTCCTCTTATCACATGATGTTTACAAGTTAAAGAATAATGTTTCAGTATAGTATGTCTGTAATTTTAACGTTAGATCCATGGGTGTAAACAATCAAGAACACTACCATCTCATTGATTTCAAAGGTGTAATTTTGAATCTCAGTTTCTGTTTAATGGTGTCGAGATAACAGAATTCATGTTGGAGCTTGGTAACATAATGTTTAAAACCAGTATTAATTCTGTCAGTATGATTTTATTTCCCTTAATTTTCTTTCAGTAGTTTGGTATGTAATCTATATAAATTCCTACCATGTTTCCCCTTCTATCCCTAAGTGTATTATAAATACAGTCAAGAATAATTAGTTTTTTAATAAAACGCATCAACTGAAATGAATCTGGTAACATACTGCAAATAAGATATCCTTCTACGTTTGAATGTAAATAAAGAAAATTCTAACAAGCTATATGAAGTGATGAGAAAGATTAAAAAGATACACATTTTTACTGCACTGGAACTGGTGAATGGCAGTACATGTTGAACAAATCGTACGGGTGGTAAAAACAATAAAATTTGGCATAACACCTGTGCATATACAAATCTTAAATATGTAGGCTACTGCAAGTATATATTAAAACTAAAAATAGAAAAACAATTTGAATTTATAAGTGTATGAAATCACAAGGTTAAGTTCAGTGCAGTGTATTGGATTTGTACTAAAACAATTCATATGTATGATGTTTTCATTCACTGTTTGCTAATGAACAACAAGGTTTATTGTACTGTTTCATGTGTTAAAAGGTTACTATAGTTTGTGAGGTTGATACAACTGTGTAACTTAATTTGCAGAGAATCACTACTTGTGGAAACAGGTTACTATAGTTTGTGAGGTTGATACAACTGTGTAACTTAATTTGCCGAGAATCACTCATTGTGGAAACAGGTTACTATAGTTTGTGAGGTTGATACAACTGTGTAACTTAATTTGCAGAGAATCACTACTTGTGGAAACAGGTTACTATAGTTTGTGAGGTTGATACAACTGTGTAACTTAATTTGCAGAGAATCACTTCTTGTGGAAACAGGTTACTATAGTTTGTGAGGTTGATACAACTGTGTAACTTAATTTGCCGAGAATCACTACTTGTGGAAACAGGTTACTATAGTTTGTGAGGTTGATACAACTGTGTAACTTAATTTGCACAGAATCACTTCTTGTGGAAACAGGTTACTATAGTTTGTGAGGTTGATACAACTGTGTAACTTAATTTGCTGAGAATCACTACTTGTGGAAACAGGTTACTACAGTTTGTGAGGTTGATACAACTGTGTAACTTAATTTGTCGAGAATCACTACTTGTGGAAACAGGTTACTATAGTTTGTGAGGTTGATACAACTGTGTAATTTAATTTGCCGAGAATCACTACTTGTGGAAACAGGTTACTATAGTTTGTGAGGTTGATACAACTGTGTAACTTAATTTGTCGAGAATCACTACTTGTGGAAACAGGTTACAACTCTTATCATACTCATTCAAAAGAAATTTGTGTAGTTAAAAAAAAAGTTAACATTATTGGTATTCCAGTTTGTGCAAGTAAAGCGACTTTTATAATTCTCACATTAATATTGGCAATACCTTTTTTTCAAACAACATGTAAAAATATAGAAGTACTGTTGTAACTAATAAAATCACCTCTTCAACACTTCCAAAATAGTATCAAATCCTAACAACTTTGCTTCAAAAAAAAGAAATTTATTAAGAATGCTGACCTCACTTTACTTAAAATTGAACCTGTATGTGTGTGGGTATGGTTTAATTGTGTTATTTTTACTTTAAACAATGTTTGGAAATCTTTGCCATTAATTATTATCTTTAAGTATGACTTGTGTTTAATGACATCATCTAATTTGATCCGACATTGTAACTTCTTGAGTTTAAAAAATTACAGACAGTTCATGATCTCTTACCTACATTCAGTACCAAGTCAGTTGGTTTCTAACGTATTCAGTCTTTCCATTAAATTTGTTTTAAGTTTATACACTAGTTTCAAGGTAATTATCTGCTAAAACCTTCATGAAACAAAATAAACATGGTAAAAAAATTCTTTACAGACAGTTGTCTTCCATTAAAATAATAAACTAATGGCATTTAATTTTCTATCAGATTTGCTTTAATTTTGTCAAAGTTGTCAGAAAATGTCTACTTTCATGAAGTATGACTTACATTATGTGACCTAGATATATAAATTACAAACATTCAATCTGTTAAGAATTGCCTAGTTATTGCTTTAACTGTCTAATACATTTTTTCAAATGCATTTGAGTTTTGTTATCAAGTACATTTACAGGCTTGTACTGGATGTAATATAACTAACTGGGGAGGTTTTTATCCTCGTCATATCTGATAGAAATAATTGCTCCACTTAAATGAAATACAGTTAATAATAAATGTAGTTGTTATAATTACACGTTGCTGAATTTAATGTCATAAAACTGGAGCATTTCATATGTAAAAGTTTTTAACTTTTCCTTTGTTCATTGAAATGTCGATTTTTTTCGTATTTATTGCATTTTTATAGGTTAGTATTCTTTCATCTTATATTGTAAATAAATAAAGACTTGTACTTTAATATACAGGCCGTGTAGTTGTAAACTGTATGTTCTGAACAGAGAAATTATTTTGTGCAGTTAAGACATTTTCTTGCTCATGTTCTAATCAGGTGTAAGTTTACGTATCGTGAGACCCGTTTTGGTTCAGTTGTTGGAAGAGAAATAGTGATGTATATATAGAAATCAGTGCTTAGCCTGTTTGATATGGTTTTATTGTCTTTAGTTTATTTTTATACATTAATCTTTCTTTTACAAAATAGTTCGTCATTATGGGAACATTGTTTATTTGACTTTATAGAATTTCTGAATCATTCAGTAAATTGTAACATTTATTACTTAAAATTTTAATATATGTACTTTAATGTTTTTCTAGCTTAAAGCATGTGTGGTTTATTACATTTGTACATCATATTATATATATTTTTAGAAGTAAAAGATTGCTATATTCTTATATTACTTATGTAAGTGATAACTTTTTTTTATTATTTTGTATGTTGCAAGTTTTGAAAATGTTTAACTTATCTTAAGTGGAGTTTTAAGTCATTTTAAGTGAAGTTGAATAGAAATTGCATGTAAGAAACTTTCCTAACGAAGATTCTCCATTATTCAGTGATAATAATCCTGCACAACAGTGGTTCTAATGTTCACTGTGCCAAAAACGAAATTCTTTCTACATTTTTTTTATGAAAATTGGTAAGTGGTTTCAAGTAATAATTTACTTGCCTGGCATGGCCAGGTGATTAGGGTGCTCGACTCGCAATCTGTCGGTTCGAATCCTCGTCCCACCAAACATGCTCGCCCTTTCAGTCGTGGGGACGTTATAATCTGATGGTCAGTTCCACTAATTGTTGATAAAAGAGTAGCCCAAGAGTTGGCGGTGGGAGAGGATGACTAGCTGCCTTCCCTCTAGTCTTACACTGCTAAATTAGGGATGGCTAGTGCAGATAGTCCTCGTGTAGCTTTGCACGAAATCCATAACAAACAAACAATAATTTACTTGAGCAATTGCTTTATGTACTATGTTGTTGTTTTTTTTTATATGTGTGGTATATTTTGGTTTAGAAATTCTATGACTATTTATTATTCCTTGCTAGTTTGTGGCTTTCCAGAGAAGGTTTAAATAATGAAGGGACTAGTATGTATATATCATATAATTTTTGATCTGATTTTAAAATAATGTATGCAAAATATTTTTATCTTGTTGCAAGATCTTAGAATAGTTATATGCTAACATCTTTCTTCCTAAATGAGTTGAACATTTACTGAATATTGTAAAAATTGTTTTTCAAGAATTGACTAATCTCTAGAAAATACTTTTATTTATTACCAACTTTGATGGATCAGCTTTATCGAGGACTAGTATCAAACATCACACCAAAATAACTGGGAATAGATAAAAAATGTGCCGAATATAGTTAATTCAGGTTTATTTCCGTATACTTTTTATTTTGTTATCAAATGATTTATATTTTGGTATACTTTAGCAAGTCACCCTATATGATGAGGTAGCTCAGTTTAATTCTTTTCTTTTGGTAAAAGTAAAGGCAAAGCTAATTGCAACAGAAATCTGTATTAAGTATTAGACCATACATAAAGTTAAGAGTAAGATTTAAGCCCATAATAATGACATATACATAATTAAGCTCTCTTCTTTTGCTACTGTTTAATTCTTTTGGGTTGATTATTAATTTTGTGCCAACATTTTGCCGTGATGATATCTGTTAAACATTTTTTTTAGCAATATTATGATCATACTAGCAACATTATGTTAGTCTATATTGTACTTATAAAGTTCAGTGAAGAGCATCCCTTCCTTCCAAAAAGTAAAAGCTTAGTAGAAGTTAGCAAAAGTAAGTTAAACTTAAGAAGTAAATTTTCCCCTTTTCTTGCGAAAACAATAATGTATTATTAATTTGTTTTCAACTACACTAAAGTTTAGGAATTCCACAATATATTGATCCACACATTTGAAGGCTTGCTTTTTTTTTATGTTTTGCAAAAAAATGTTATATTAATAATATTACTACTAATGGTGTCAATGATTGAAAATAACTAAAGATATTTAAATTTCCTATCACTTCACTTGTACTACTGCTTGAAATTAAAAAAATCATGTAATTAATATGAAAGTATTTTGAGTAACCAAATCACAGTTCTTTCTTACCTTGATCATAATGAATCCCAACATTTTAACTTTTCATCATTTTTAGGACACAACTAATTCATATAGTAAGATCTAAAAATTAATGAAAAACTTTTTTGTTAATATCAAATAAAAATTATCATTATTTACTAGCAATTGTTTGGATGTTATGGTATAGATGGGGGGGGGGATTTCTGGTATGTTTACTGGTACAGTTAAATAATAATATTGTTACTATTTGGTATAGTTTTCACAGAATATCTGGAATTAGATAACATACTTTCTTTTACAATGTAGGCAAATTTTTTTATTAATAACTTGTTGGTTTTAAACTTAATATTTCATGTGTAGTTTTGGTTACAACATTGTTACTTGATAAAGCTATAACTAATTTGAAATACAGGGGGTCTTGCTTTTTTAAATTTCTACTTAGCTGTGGTTTAGATTATAATCCAACGAAATATGAAGTGATAGATAACTTTGTGTAGGTAACAAAATAATTTACATAGATTTCAGGAATGTCTTGTTCATGAGTGTTTGATTTTATTTATATAATTAATTATACCATTTTCCTTTGGACTAGTAGTGTGTATCATAATTTTTTATTACTATTTTAGTATTTCTTTCTGTGATTTATACATTTATCTTGATACATTTTGTGTCAGACTCCAACTTTATTAGCTTT